TGGTGGTGAGCTGGATCCGATGGCGTTCATGCTACCCGCAACTGAGCACCCTTTTGTGCTTTTATTCTTTTTTGGACTTGTTTTTTGCTCTTATCTTGCTACGGAATAACCTACAGTCGAGAAGATCTGATAGGCATAGGAATGCAGGTCAATACTGAGGTGACTTATGCTTATATAAAGACCAACAATAGTCCATTGGAGTTAGTGAGACCTCCAGGAGCACCGTGGATTGCTGTCGGGCCAAGCAAGTGACGGAGACGGCGCAGGGAGAGGAAACAAAAGCGGGGCTGCAGAGGGGGCTTGCTAACTCAACTGAAGAAGAAACTGCACAAACCTCCATTACCATCTATGCTCCTCACAAACAAAATGGATGAGTTACAGTCGCAGATCGCCTACAACCACACCATCCATGAGTGTTGTCTGCTAATTGTTTGGTGCCCAAACAGTAAAATTATAAACACCCACTGTTCACTGGACTTAGAGGCTATGTCTGTCCAGTGCAGACCGTTTTATTTGCCACGGGAGCTAACAGTAGTCATCATTACTGCTATTTACATACCACCAGATGCTAACGTTAGCATGGCACTCGGTCACCTCCAACACATAATAAACAAGCAACAGAGAGCTCATCCTGATGGCGTTCACATCATTGCTGCTTAAAAGCATGCTTAAAGACTCTGCTCCCCAAATTCTATCAACATGTCAAGTGCCCAACCAGGGGAGATAACACACTTGATGTTGTATATTCCACCATCAAGCATGCCTATAGAGCAAAGCCCCTCCCCCACCTAGGACAATCTGACCATCTCACCCTGCTCCTAATACCAGCCTATATCCCCATCAGGAAGAGAACAAAGCCAAACAGTCAAACCATCAGGAGCTGGTTTGACAACGCTCTCTCCCAGCTTCAGGACTGTTTCGCCTGTACAGATTGGAACATCTTTAGACAACAGGACTTCGAGACATACACAGAGACTGTGCTTTTCTACATCAAGACCTGTGTAGAATATGTTACTGTGGATAAACGCATATGGGTTTTCTCAAACAGGAAACCCTGGATGACTAGTGAAGTCCAGACTTTGATCAGGGCCCGTGATCTGGCTTTTAAAGCAGGTGACACCTCACTGTACAGCACTGCCAGAGCCGACCTGAGAAGGGGCATCAAACATGCCAAGGAGATGTACAGGAGGAAGGTAGAGGGCCACTTCAGGGACAGTGACCCATGGCAGATGTGGAGGGGCCCTGACCAATTATAAAGGTCAGGGCCCAACAAACACCGATAGCAGCAGCACTCTGGCAGACGAACTAAACAACTAATTTGCACGTTTTGAGACCGCCAGGAATCCGCACACAGTGCCTCATGAGAACTACAACACTGCACCTCTCTCTCTTCAGGTGCATGAGGTGAGGAGAACGATGAGAGCAGTGAATCCCAGGAAAGCTGCAGGACCTGATGGCATTC